TTACGAGTACAGACCGCCATGCAGACACAAATGGCGCAAATGGAGAATTCTGGAATCGACCTCGGCACCATTTGATGCAGTAAAACATCTTAACATGACGGTTAATGTAGCTGAAGATTGAACGATCAATTCATGGTTGTTTGCTCAAAACCGACTTCCCCAATTTTCGCGGAAGCACCAATCAGCCAGTCATCCTCTCATCGGTCGCTGTTCAGAAAGAAGTCAGGAGACAACCGTCAGAAGTAATATTGTGATTTATTATTGTAATATTTGTTCATAGACCTTAGTTGTAAAGCTTAGTTGTACATTGGTTAAATGTTGGTGTTAGAATAAATAATTGTCGAGTTGCCAAACTGGGTTCTGGTCCTCGCGTCCGTTCGTACTAAGCGTTTCTGAGAAGCTTCGAGGAACAGCGTGAGTCCCAGCGTGGCAAGAGCTGGGCGTTAAAGGTTTACGCACCTACCACGGGGGTTCGAACCCAGGACCTGACCGGTGTCAACTCATGATGAATTCCTGTAACCAATCAATCAAATCCCTACAACCCAATACTTGAATGAATATTTGTTTATTTGTTCTCCTGAACCACTTCGTTGCCGAACACCAAGTGCGAACAAGGCCAAATCAAGCCGGATTTCGACCTGGAAGAGGCTGTGATTTGATCAATTATTCACACTGCGAAGAATTCTGGAACACAGAGACAAATTCCAACAGCCGACGGTTGCTTGCTTCATCGACTTCTGAGCGTCATTCGACTCAGTTGATCGAGGAGCACTCTGGTATCTAATGGAGCTCGACGGAGTTCCAACCATGCTAATCAACCTGCTCAGGTCATACTACTCCAACACCAAAGGTCGAGTCCAAGTGAACGGTGAAGATTCTCGCACTTTTAAGGTAACCAGCGGTGTCCGGCAAGGTTGTCCAGCATCCCCCATCCTGTTCAATTCCACAGTTGATTTGATTTTGCGGCACGCCCTAACCGAGCACCACGGCGTTCAACTTTCGCCCGATATTCACATAGCCGACCTCGAATTCGCCGACGACGTCGTGTTATTAGCTGGAAACTTCCCCGATATGCAACAGGCACTCGATCAGATAAACCACCTCGTGCCTACTATCGGTTTGAAAATTAACACTTCCAAAACCAAAGTGTTTTCGAACACATCCACCAGAAATGAGGAAATCCCATCCCTGAATGGAGCACCTATTGAAATTGTGCCATCCTTCAGGTATCTGGGATCCATGATGCTCCCCAACGGTCAAGCGAAAAACGAAGTGAATGCGCGAATCTCCAACGCCCGGAATGCGTTTCTACAGCTGAGGAGCGTTCTATGGAGCAAGAGGGAATCAGTCTCAAGACTAAAATTCGGGTCAACCAAGCCTCCATACGACCCGTTCTCCTGTATGGCTGTGAAACCTGGCCTCTTCGCGCGGAAGATTTACGCAGACTCGAGGTAGTAGACCATTGGTGCCTCAGGTACGTTCTACATGTTCATTGGCAGGACAAACTCTCCAACGAAGAAGTGCGCCGTCGTTGCTACAACATCAACCAAATTCCAGTACTGGTCCAACAAAGTCGCCTTCGGTGGTTTGGCCATGTTCTGTGCCGACCAGATGACGATTTGGTCAAATCAGTTCTAAATCCCTCGCCATTTCCATCTTGGCGATGTCGCAGGGGTGGACAGCTGAAAACATGGCTTGGTACAGTCAAGGGTGATATGGAGTGCCTGGGGCTACAAACCGTCTACGGACTCCGTGTGTGGAACAAGAATTGGATAACCCTGTCACAAAACCTTGCATCAGATCGCCGCGTCTGGGCAGCGATGATTCGAGATGTTCATGAAGCCGACTCATCCTCCCGTAGGAGATAGCCGAAGTAAAGTAAAGTAAGTAAGTGAGTGCGTGCTGCCGATGATTCCCAAACTAGGACTAAAGAACTTGCTTCCAGTACTCTCAGCTTGCTTTCAATGGTTCTCTAACTGATATCATATTGTGGTCAAACTTGATAAATAATAAATGTTTTTGTTACAGGATTTCATCATGAGCTGACATTGTTTAGAGGACCATTGGAAAATCACCTGGGAGTACTGGACAGCTGTTTCGTTAGTTTAGTTTGGGACTCTTCAGGAGTACGCACCCACCATAGGGGTTCGAGCCCAGGACCTTCTGGTTACAAGGCGAGTTCGTAGACCATTAAGCCACTGGGACCCGATCCACTGGCCCATGAATTCCAACTTCTGCCAATGTCAGCTCATGATGGAATCCTGTAACCAATCAATCAAATCCCTACAAACCAATACTTGAATAAATGTTTGTTAATAATAATAATTTATTTCTGTAACAGAAACCAGCCATTTTTACAGGCATGAACATATGTACACTTATGAAAACTTATAGAATATATAATATGATTTGTTAATTTAGAAATAAGTTGAATACTGGTAAATGTGAGAGAAACATTTAAAATGAAGTGTACAAATAAGGAAATAGATATAGCGTCAAATCTAAACTGTGATTGAAAAAAAATACATGTCAATTTCACGCGGGAATCGTAAATGATTGCGTTAGTTGAGGAAGGTAAGTAGCATTTTTGTTCAGGTGCTGACGTTATACATAAGAGACGCAGAATAAACAATAATTATCAGCAAATGATTCATAAAGTGTTTCAAAGTCTATAAAAATTCAAATTCACCGTGAGTACACCATATTTTTGACATTTCCAGTTGTTTGTGAGACCGACTTTGAACTTGTCAGCAGATTTTATAATATAGGTGGTCCCGTTATTTACCAGATGAGCTAGCAATATCACGAATAAATGGAGAATAGCAGTGCTGTATCAGTAACTTCGTTGAAAGCAGTATCTTTGAAAAGAGAAGAAGACACCTGTAACCAATCAATCAAATCCCTACAAACCAATACTTGAAAAAATGTCTGTATATTTGTTTTATTTAAGTATTGATCTGAACTATACATCTGAGTTGGCATTTGATGTTAACTACGGTAAAATGTTTAAAACTCTGTCTACACATAAGTCTTTCCTCTGCTGGAAATACTCGATTCAAGTTGTTGAAACTACGTCGAATATTTATTTCTAGAAAGATATTTTGCCTACCCTTCTACGTGAAGAAGTTAAGACAATCTGGTAATTACTCAGTCTGTAGCTTCACATTTGGTTAATCCTTGTATTCAACTTATTCACTCTCTATTGTTCCCACTTAATCTTGTGCATCGGTGGCACAGCGGTTAAAACACTCACCGACCATGCACATGATCCGAGGTTCGATCCCCTTCCGATGCACACCTGATATCAATTTGTCGGCCTGCAAAATTCGGGCTACCGATATCACATGCTGAAAATTCCATACTTGTACCGAAAATACGGTGTGAAATCAAGCTATAAATAAAGATGGCTTTGCTACATTCCAGAGGGGGCATCAAAAGCTGTCGGTAGGGTGAGTAGGGTATCGCTTAACCAGCTTGTTAATACTGTTGTAGAGATAAACACATGGATTTCATCGAAGAAATTGGCAAACATCATCTTTTTGGACTCTGAGCGCATCCTTGTTCTATACAAAACTCTCCCTTTTTATCTCATCAAGGAAGGACTGGAGGTAAATCTCAAAGACTTTATACTCTGACGACTAAATATGAAAACGCTGATGCCTTATTTAGTACACACCTTATGTGATGGGAAAAGTGTTAGGTGGAAACTACTAACTTACTGCGAGACAGTTTGTAAATGGCCATTTTTTATTCTTCCTTTCATTATTATATATTGTTATCACTATTTCTGCTTTACACCCTACATTCATAGCTTTATTGAAATTATTATCAATGTGAGATGGCTTGTTAATTATTCTTTCCTTTCTATGTGATGTAAAGAGGAAACTAAATGTTCTATTCGATTGTAATGGCAAAGACGACAGACTTGGTAAAGGAATGTCTATTTACAATTTGGTATCGCTATATAGCCAAATTATGTACACCTTATCCTCAACGCACCATCTACTTGGAGATCTTCCGTGTTGTACTACTTCTGTTCCTTATATGATGTTTCTTCGTGTTCCTTTCACGTCTCCCATGTTTCTCAAAACCAATGAGTTATTTGCTTTCTGTTTTATCAAGTCTTTCTCTCTGCCATTTTGATGTTCATATGTCTATGAAGGTCTCATTATATACTACTGATAAATCTTACCAGTGACACGCCACACTACTACATGCTGAGAATCTCAAAATGTGTCAAATGTTACTGTTTGTAATAATGCCATTATTATCATCATCATTATTATACTCTGCCAGTTAGAGATACTCAGGTTTATGAAAAACACGGTCTTTATCAGAAAATATTAAAAGCAACACAATGTATGTACTGAAAGGAATAGACGCTAATTCTGATGGCTTGATTACTATGGGAGAAAACAAAGTTTCCAAGTATTGGTTTTGTAGGGATTTTGTTTGATTGGATGGAGGATTTTATCATGAGCTGACAGGGGTTCTCTAACTGATACCAGCTCGTGATGATATCCTCCATCGAATAAAACGAAGTTTATCTTAATTTGGATTTTTGATTATGATGTTGTAGTGTGTGCATCGGTGGCATAGTGGTTAGGACGCTCGCCCACCATGCATATGGTCCGGGGTTCGATCCCCGGCTACCGACGCACTCCTTTACCTCGCTAAGCCAGAAATAATGCTGGTAAAGAGGAAAGGTGAGGCATAAGGCTAGCAACTCCATCCCATAAAAATAAACACTGCTACAGAAACTTCAAGCCACTAGCTTGAAGCCCTATGTTCCACTGAGGAGCGTGAAGGAAAAAAATGTTGTAGTGTAGCAATAGTTTTGCTTTTAAATGTTTTTATTGTCTTTCATCGTATCCTATATATGTGCGTGTGTGTTTATTTCTTTACCCCGTGATTTTGTTTTGTCTGTAACAAACAACAGATCTGTATTTGGCTATCGTAATCTTATATACGCTAATCTGCTTATTGAATATGGATGCTTAATGTTGAATACGGACAAAACACGGAAAGCAGCAGAAATCTATCGGGTTTGTTAATAGTATTTCATGTTGTTATTATTATTACTTAAATAATATATAAATACTGTTGTATTTGTCTGTCTGCTGAAGTCAGACACATATGTGCTTGAAATATGCACACGTGACTAGAGCCTTTTCTTTCGTCTGTGTTTTTGTCTTTCACTTGAACAGAATTGTTTATAAAGCCTGTTGCTGACAGTTATCGTGTTTTATGTTCTTCAACTTTAATAAACAATAAGATAGATGATATATAAAAGTGTAAATAAGTCTGAAAAAAAGACCAGCTGTCATTTATTTTAACTGATATACAGTTGAAGTAATCTTCTTGCTGAAATGGAGAACGAATAAGTATCATGAAGACCGTATAATTTATGTTTAGATGTTCAGCGTACTACTGTGTTCAGAGCTATCTGCGAGTCGAAATTGTAGACATCAATTGACGTCAATGTTTACGTCCCAAATCTGGGTCATGAGAAAAAAAACAATAAGAAAGCTTAACTTCGAGGAACTCAATAACCAATCACAGCAGACTTAACGTATCCAAATATGATTCGCAGATATATGGCTTAACTTTCTAAGAAACGGTCACAACCAGTACAGGATAACCTTGATCAAGAAAACAACTAACCAGAAGACGTTGTTTCTCTGCTAACAATAACGCCAGTAATAATGTACATGAAAATCTATAAATTTCTGTTGATTTTATCAAACGATCTATTGTCTGACCCTTGTCTTCGGTCGTTACACTACTACTCTCATTGACTTCTAATATCTAGTACATTGTTACTGAGCTATTGTGTTAAAATTCAGCTATTGAGATTTCTAGTTGGTAGTCCTTATTCATGCGATACTTATAATGTCTCTGGTCATTCACCATGTTTTAGGTAAGTTTTAGGCGAAAATAACCTCGATTCTGCCTCCAGAAAGCTTATGTCACGATAATAATAGCAAACGACAATACGATGACACATTATTGTACGATAATGTTTAATTAAAAATACGTGATTTCCTACATTTCTTCGATAAGATAAATTTGATATGTATCCATATAATATGTGTTTTGTTTGACAGTCTGTCCTTGGTGACACATATCCATATTATATGTGTGGTTGTTGACATGTCCGCTATATTTTGCTATGTATATATGGACCAATATTCCATTATAATTAGCCAATCATGTTAAGACTGTCTATTGATTTTTTTTTTATTTTGAATATTAAAAGTTAGGATTTACTGCCCAGTTGTTTTGTGTTGCTTTAGGACAGCTGTGACCAGTAAGGACAATTAAGTTAGTTGGCTATTCATTGATTATTTGCCCTGTTCATAAGTGTGAAAAAAACATGATGAATTTTTGAATCTGAACTCTTTGGATGAGTAATAATGTACTCATTGCGAGATGAAATAGTCCTAGTCTCAGGCTGAAAAAGGATTATGCCTAAATGCTGCTGAAGAGTTCAGTACTTCTTTGGATTTTAGTCGTTCTCTAGATGCGGGTTTTTGATGGGAAATAATATTTCCTCAAGTAAAGATGATATTTGGGAAAGAACTTATCACCTTTATAAAAGTTTGATAGACTAGACACATCACACTAGTTACTAGTGTCCAATCAAAATATCCACTACAGTCCTACAGGAGGTCAATCGCGAGCCAGCCCGAATAGCTCAGTGGTAACGTCTCTGACTGCAGCACTAGGTGATGACGCGGCTTCGAATCTCAGAAGGGACATGAGTTCCTTCAAGGCGGTTGCAGATACGCCTTGCTGACTGGTGAGCTCCAACTAGCACGAAACCTAGGTTGTAAGCTGTTTTCCGATTGCCTCCAACCATCTAATATCATCATATCAATGTGTACCGTAATGGCAAGCTACCTAGAATGGTAGCTACATTACAAACCTAACTGATAGAATTCAGTCTGCACCAAAGGAAAGACTAGACACATCACACCAGTTACTAGTGCCCAATCAAGATCTATATACTTTCATAACTCATAGACTTGTATGATAGACTGTAAGTATTCGCTATTCTTGTCTGTCAATCTGCTCATCTCAGCGTACAAATCTTTCAATAGAGTAAAACTTATTCGAACTTAAAGTTCATAGTGAAAAAGCCTAATTACTTTCTAGTTTATGCAATGAATAATAAGCTTGAGTTGTCTAGACATTTGATTATCATTCTTTATTAGGTCATGTACGTGTTACACCTACTAGTCGTTTATTAAATTCTTAGTCTCAAACACGATACGTGTCATTCATTCACTCTATTTCGCTTAACAATCGAATTTCAATTTAGTGTTCCTTGATGACCTGTTACAAGACGAATTTCTAATGAAAAATGATCGATTGGAATGTATGTAATTGTGTATGATCAAGTGACATCCTACGGCAGGCTCTCGAGTGGAACCCTGAACGGGAAGTGGTGAGTTGGTCGTCATTCCTTTGGGTGACATAGAGGAAGTCATGTGAAGAGGAGATAAAAGCATGTGGACAGACGTGGAGCCAGGTGAAAGCGTTGTCAGAGGACCGAACGCAATGGAGACGTCCGGCTGAAGCCCTATGTTCTTCTAGGAAATAAAGGAAACAATAATATATAATAATCGTGTATCATAAGGGATAATACACTGCGATAACATTAAATGTTGATGACTGTGTTAGTTAAACTTGAGCCATTAGATTTTGGGCTTACTGACTAGATGGAGACATACAAATCTCATCATATGATGCAGTCCCTTGCGTAATAGTGTATGGATAAATATTCTATAAAAACAATGAAATATCCACTAAGCACTTTTCGATTTATCACTGGTGTCAGCCTCGTCTCATAAACCGTTAATGCCCAGCTCTTGATACGCTCGCGATCACGCTGTCGCTTGAAGATTCTCAGAAACGCTTGGTAATAACGGACGCAAAAACCAAAACACCGATCTGCCGCGTGATATTTGTTTATTGTTACACCAACATATAAAAGGAATAAGCGAACTAAGGTCTGTAAACAAATATTACAATAATAAATCGTTATATTACTTCTGACGATATTTTACTCTTCTTTCTGAACAGCGACCGATGAGACGATGACTGTCGTATTCATGTCTCCGCGAAAATTGCGGAAGTTGATTTTGAGCAAACAACCATGAATTGATAGTTCAATCTTCAACTCCATTGACACTCCCCGGCAAAAAAGGGATCCAACCCTTTCTTCCTTCACGACCAATACACGTTGACTTGGATGCCATTGCGAGAACCTGGGTCACACGGACAGAGCTGAAATGGAAAACAAACAGAAAAGCCAACACACCACAAGCATACCCAGAGCTCAATCTCACACATCGCTGACGACCTGCGCCTCCAGACAGAGACCTCCTCTTGACATCTTCCAACACAATCGCCACTTGCTGGAATGACTCTTGCAGAAAGCAACGTGACCACAGCACCAACTCATGATACTCTACGCACATCCTCTTTTCTATTCACTATCAATTATCACTGAAATCGCCTGTCACTCATTCTGCCTCAGTTCTAGTAGCGGTGACGCATGCGAGCCTCACTCGTCTACACTCTTTCTCCCCGGCGTGTGGGACCGCAGCTAACATTTATCTCCGTATGCATATCATTCTCAGCAGTACCCCAGCCTCCCCGGCGTATACGCCACATCTGCTGTCCTTAACATCAATCAATTCATTCATGGATGTAGAAGAGTGGACACAACTTCAGAAGTAATCACGACGAAAATTTTAACAAAATTACGCAATAACAACGAGGTATGAAAACAACAAGTAAACACAATGAATCCAAAACACCACCAGTTGATATGACACACCACACATATATACAAACAGTACAGACAAACTCGCAGATCGTGTCTCCATGGAATTCCTTTGAAGAATCGCAGGACTTACACCAGTACGCCTGCAACCCTTCTCCGGTTGACGATTGTAAGTTGTAGAATGTCCGGACACAATCAAGACTAACCAACAATTAAAATAATTGGAACTCACACAATTATTTAACACAAACATATGTACAATCGACACATCAAATGTTGTGGATTCTGGCACGACAAACTACCCTTGAAGAACTGTGGGACTTACAGCAGTACGCCCGCATTCCTTCTCAGGTTGATGATCCAAGTGGAAGTCGTCCGGACACAAACAGAATTACCATCAGCTAGATGACAGATGATATCAATTCAGTATATACAACATGAACTTATGTACAAAATCACACACCCAGCACATCTGACTGCTCATTGATGCGCTACCCTTTGGAGAATTGTAGGACTTACAGCAGTACGCCTACAACCCTTCTCAGGTTGACGCTCTAGGTTGGAAAATCGTCGCAGAGTTCATTTGATAACTTCCTTCTATCAGTTATATCCTCAAATCTGAACGATAACACGCTCATGTCATTGTATCGTGGAATATAGATGACGAACAATCACACGACGTATCTGGTCAACCAAGCGTAGGCACAGAGTAATTTACACCAAAGATAATAACATTCAAATAGTAACTTGAAACTAGAAATGCCTTTATTCGTGCAAGTCAATTTAACAATAACTCTCTCCTTTAAACTTGCCTTATCCTCACTAAACTGGCCATTGATATTCGTCTTTTCAAACGAACTGATACTACCATAGTCATTGCACAAGATACTTGAGTTCATGGGAGTCTGTTTCATTGTGGATGACAGCACCAACGACGAATGATTGATATCAGTTGATGAAGTTAGCGGCGGATCAGGAGCTGTTGTTGTTCGGCTTTCAGAAATTTGTCGAACTGCTAGATTACCGCCACTGTTGTCTTTTAATATCAGCTCGGGTTAAGCACTAGCATCTCATGACAGGTGGGCTTCACTCTGATCAATTACACTGACGGTTGGACAAGTATGCATGCCTTCTGCAACTGCATTCAATTCTACTTCACGTTCAAGTTGTACAGAAGGTTTATTTAACTTAGCAGTAGTAGGCATTCCCTCCATTTCATCATGATCAACCAAAGACAAATCGGCACTATCATGATCATTATCACAAATATTCAATTTACCATCATCTATCTGGTCGACTTCATCATATTCAAACTCTTTAATAACAGCAGTAGATGATTTGGGTTCTTCCTCACAAATCCATAAAGGTTTTATGTCTTCACTCTGACTAGTGATACCTTGTAAACTTGTAGGGTCAGAACTGCACTCTGAAGCAGCAACTCTATTCTGTGACACTCTATTCAACAATGGCCTACCAGTTGCAACTACAGACTTCTTGACCGCACCGTTATCGTCGCACAATTCGGAGTCAGACCTTGATTTCACATTTAGCTTATCACTGAACTTGCTCACTGGTTCACAGTTCACCTCTGTATGCACCTCTTGCAAACGTGTAAAACACAACCGCGTTTGTCTTGCATCTTGTAACTCATCTGTTGAGGATGTACTACAAAACCTGTTACACTCACTAGGTCTATATGCATTACTATACATCATGGAGCCTTCTCGATATCCACCTCTCTGAGGCCCTTTCGTCATCAATGATTGCATTTTGCTCTCAGACTACTCTATTCTAGGGGTGAGATATAATAGACTGGCGAACTTGCTCATAGATTGATTGACACTAGTATTTACCAGTTTCAGGATATCATCAAATTTTGGCTCGATACCCTCATCCTCCATACAGGAGCTTATCTTCACCCACTTCCTTTGAAGTCGAGTAGGTAGGCGTCTTGCTATTACTTCTAGTATAAAACTCGAGTTGAGGTCACTCATGCGATTCATCGAAATCATTGCATTCTTGTTAATTAGCAAATTATCTAAAAACTCAGTAAGTGCCTGGGAGTCATCCTGTAACACCCTTAACAACCTCGAATGTTTTCCCTACAATCATTGAAGGTCTTCCAATCCTTTGACGTAATATGTTCATAGCCTCATCGTAGCCCTATTTTGGCTTCATAAACTTACAGCACTGTATAGCTCTTGCAGCATCTCCAGTGCAATACCCCATCAAATACATCAATTTCAATTCATCGCTTAATAAAAAACTACTTAGGATAATCTCAAACTCCTTTACAAATGGTAAATAATCAGCTGGGTTTCCATCACAACATCGTGGTAAAATTTAGGGAGTTTGATGTTCCTATTATCCCTGAACGGCGAAACAGTAACATCAACCATATCATGCTTAACATCAGGCACATCGTTACAAGTAACAGACAAGTCACCATGGCTTACTTTCCTGTTTGCATCCAAGACGCTCTGTCCCTTCTTTGACCCAGGCATTGTTGAACTTGGCCCAATTCCAAAGAAGTTCCAGATATTGCTTGTTAAAAGAGGACTTGACCGGCACCAGGAAAGATGAAGGGTGACTATCCAAACTCTCACCAACTGTTTGAATCCGACAGAATCTGTTTCTACCGTCAGAAAACTGTCAGTCACGTCTCGTAAACCGTTAATGCCCAGCTCTCGCTACGCTCGGGATCACGCTGTTCCTTGGAGTTTTTCAGAAACGCTTAGTAATAACAGACGAAAAAAGCAAAAGACCAATTGGCTACTCGAGAATTCTTTATTGTTACACCAACATATAAATCACGTATGACTAAGGTCTGTGAACAAATATTACAATAATAAATCACAAAATTACTTCTGACGGTGTTTTACTCTTCTTTCTGAACAGCGACCGATGAGACGATGACTGTCGTATTGATGCCTCCACGAAAATTGTGGAAGTTGGCTTTGAGCAAACAACCATGAATTGATCGTTCAATCTTCAACTCCATTGACAACTGTTGTACACTCTGTTGTTATCCTGTTGTTTCTTAATGAAATCTGTATTCACAGATGCAGGTATTTGAATAATAACAATAATAATATACTCAGTTAGTACTATTGTTGTAATAGTATTCTTGTCTTATTTTTTCCCTCCTTGTCTTTTCAATTCAGATTGCATTAGCTTTGATATTGAATTATTTACGCGGTGCTAGTATAATGGTTGCTTTAGCCTTGGAAGCGATTGCCTACGCACACTATGTACTTGAATATACATCAGGTGATTTCACGTATGCTTTAAATTGTGCTGAAATATCTGGTCTAATGCTGCGTCGTTTAAATTATGGGGTGTGTATGCAAGCAGCTTCAGCGAATCGAGTCAAAGGTATGTTGAGTGTTTGCATATTTTTTTTGTTAACTGAATAATTCTTTCCATAATGTTTTTACTGTATATCTTGTCGATTTCTTACATATTAATGTAACTGATGAAGAGTCCCAATCTAGGACGAAACAGCCGACTGTCCAGTATTCCCAGGTGGGTTTTCCAGTGGTTATCTGACTGATGTCAGCTCATGATGAAATCCTCCATCCAATTATAACTGTATCAGTTAGCAGAATTTAGCATATTTCTGGTTTTAGTGTTTGTTACTCGTCTTTGTTGTAAAGTTGTTTGTTTTTGTTGTTGTTGTGAATAACTTATGATGAGAGTTTTCATATATGTAAATATCCTTTTTACTGTTGTCTAATTTCTTTATTTAATGATCAAATATGTACTTTGTAGAGTTTATCATGTGAATCTATGATAAAGAGTTCGTCGATAACCTCATTCATCAGTGTATTGATTGTTAATTTCGCAGTGACCTCTATGCAGCGAATCTACTGTTGTTGTCTGATAAGTTGTTTGATAGCTTATTTAGTTTTTTGAACTGTTTAAAGATAAGTAGAGAGAGAGGGAGTCATTTGAAAAGAATATTGATTTGATTGTATCCAAGATATTGAAGTGACTAAGAGAGATGGAAATAACACTCAGCATGATCTAATTTTCAACGCCTTGGGGACTTTTGTTGAATGTATTACTAAACTGGCTGAATAGCATATTCTTTTATAGATATGGTTCAAGATGAATGTTAGCATGTATCTACTCGAAGTCAAATAGGCCTCTCAGCGTTTCCCATTGCAGCACAACTGACTCATACTAATATATATGTATATAATATAATGTAATCACTTTATTCCACAACAATAACAATTTACAGCATGGAATTTTCAGCATTTCTTTTACATATTGCAATGGTTTAGCTCTGTTTATAATTATATAAATGTATAAAATGTTAAAATATTGATAGTTAATAGGAAAAAATAAAAAACACCCCGACAAAATCACACCATTTCTAGGTCATAGTGAATAATAAATGAATAATATAACAAATAACACATGCATTAATATACATCATTTCATTTTATAGTTTAGTTATTGATTCAAAAGTTGTAAAAGTTCTTTTCTGATATTTGTCTCTTCACACAATACTCTTGCCAAATATGGCACGGTCGAATTTTTATATTTTGTAGTAAGAGCACAAATGTTTATAAAATTTCTTCTGGTCTTACCCGAAGAGGTACAAGGAAACAATTGTGAATAAAGAGGATGTTTACTATCAGATAAGATAACTTTAGCCAAGTGTTTACAAGAATTCATATGCCTATTGACAACAGTGTCATTTAGTTGAGTCAAAGGGATAGCAATGACCCTACTTACAGCCCTCAATGCTCTTCGTAGTATTATATGGTCTTTCTTGAGTAGCCCAGGGGAGAATGACGGAGAACAATAAAGAATGATGGGCGAAACACATGAATTAATAAATTGTATAAGGAGAGATTGGGTTATACCTGAGCGTCTCAACTTCTTTACGTAATAAGTCGGACGGAAAACTTTCTTAGAAACTATAAGAATATGAGACGACCAGCAAAGGTTTGAAGAGAAACTAATGCCAAGATAAGAAACACTTGACTTACTCTCTATCATGGTACCATCAATATTACAACAATCATGAGATTGAATCAATCCATGCATGTCTTTTTCACTTCTCAAGCTGAAATCAACAGTGTTACATTTAGTTGGATTTAGTTTACGACCATTTGGGCCAGACCAATCCTTAACTTCAGCTAAGAAGCCATTCATATGGGAACGATCCAATGTGGAAACTACAGGGACAGAAACGGTCAGATCATCAGCATACTTAATGAAGTTAACTTTGGGTGAGTTCGGAAGGTCATGCAAAAAGAAGGAGAAAAGAAATGGAGAAAGTACTGCACCTTGAGACACATCACTATCAGTTAGCTGAGAAGTGGAGCGCTTTCCAGTCAAAACAGTATGCTGTTTCCTATCCTTAAAATAAGAAGACAGCCATCTAGTTGCCCAGGACTCTGTTTGTGCTGAAGCCATCTTTCCTAATAAAAGTGTCCTAAGAACAGATTGAAAAGCTGCAATATAGTCTAAAAAAGCTGTTCGAACGAACTAAGCACCCTTATCAAGACAGGAGAAAATATTGTGGTGTAGTACAATGGCTGCATCTAATGTACTTCTTCCACAGTAATAAGCAAACTGCTTAGGGTCACTAAAAGCTTTTAAAGAAGGTTAAAGAATATTCAAAAGAAGTCTCTCCATACTTATCAAAAAGGAGATTTTCAGCCACGTCTCGTAAACCGTTAATGCCCAGCTCTTGCTACGCTCGGGCTCACGCTGTCGCTTGAAGTTTCTCAGAAACGCTTAGTTATAACGGACGAAAACACCAAAACACCGATACGCCGCCTGAGAATTCTTTATTGTTACAACAACACACAAAAGAAATAACTGCACTAACGTCTGTGAACAAATATTACAATAATAAATCATAATGTTTGTAAATCACGTCTCATAAACCGTTAATGCCCAGCTCTCGCTGCGCTCGGGCCCATGCTGTTCTTCGAAGATTTCGGAAACGCTTAGTTATAACGGACGCAAAAACCAAAACACCGATCTGCCGCGTGATATTTGTTTATTGTTACACCAACATATAAAAGGAATAAGCGAACTAAGGTTTCTGACGATGTTTCACTCTTCTTTCTGAACAGCGACCGATGAGACGATGACTGTCGTATTCATGTCTCCGCGAAAATTGCGGAAGTTGGTTTTGAGCAAACAACCATGAATTGATAGTTCAATCTTCAACTACACTGACACTCCCTGGAAAAAAAAAGGAACCAACGCTTTTTCCCATCACGACCAATACACGTTGACTTGGATGCCATTGCGAGAACCTGGGTCACACGGACAGAGCTGAAATGGAAAACAAACAGAAAAGCCAACACACCACAAGCATACCAAGAGCTCAATCTCACACATCGCTGACGACCTGCGCCTCCAGACAGAGACCTCCTCTTGACATCTTCCAACACAATCGCCACTTGCTGGAATGACTCTTGCAGAAAGCAACGTGACCACAGCACCAACTCATGATACTCTACGCACATCCTCTTATCTACTCATTACCAATTACCACTGAAATCGCTTGTCACTCATTCTGCCTCAGTTCTAGTAGCGGTGACGCATGCGAGCCTCAGTCGTTTACACTCTTTCTCCCCGGCGTGTGGGACCGCAGCTAACATTTATCTCCGTGTGCATTTCATTCTCAGCAATAGCCTAGCCTCCCCGGCGTATACGCCACATCAGCTGCCCTTAACATCAATCAATTCATTCACGGATGTAGACGACTCGAAACAACTTCAGAAGTAATCACGACGAAAATTTTAACAAAATTACGCAATAACAACGAGGTATGAAAACAACAAGTAAACACAATGAATCCAAAAACACCAATTGACATGACACACCACACATATATACAAACAGTACAGACAAACTCGCAGATCGTGTCTCCATGGAATTCCTTTGAAGAATCGCAGGACTTACACCAGTACGCCTGCAACCCTTCTCCGGTTGACGATTGTAAGTTGTAGAATGTCCGGACACAATCAAGACTAACCAACAATTAAAATAATTGGAACTCACACAATTATTTAACACAAACATATGTACAATCGACACATCAAATGTTGTGGATTCTGGCACGACAAACTACCCTTGAAGAACTGTGGGACTTACAGCAGTACGCCCGCATTCCTTCTCAGGTTGATGATCCAAGTGGAAGTCGTCCGGACACAAACAGAATTACCATCAGCTAGATGACAGATGATATCAATTCAGTATATACAACATGAACTTATGTACAAAATCACACACCCAGCACATCTGACTGCTCATTGATGCGCTACCCTTTGGAGAATTGTAGGACTTACAGCAGTACGCCTACAACCCTTCTCAGGTTGACGCTCTAGGTTGGAAAATCGTCGCAGAGTTCATTTGATAACTTCCTTCTATCAGTTATATCCTCAAATCTGAACGATAACACGCTCATGTCATTGTATCGTAGAATATAGATGACGAACAATCACACGACGTATCTGGTCAACCAAGCGTAGGCACAGAGTAATTTACACCAGAGATAATAGCATTCAAATAGTAACTTGAAACTAGAAATGCCTTTATTCATGCAAGTCAATTTAACAATTAATCTCTCGTTTACACTTGCCTTATTCTCACTAAACTGGCTATTGATATTCGTCCTTTCAAACGAACTGATACTTTCATAGTCATTGCACAAGATACTTGAGTTGATGGACGTCCATTTCATTGTGGATGTAAACACCAACGATGACTGAGTGACACAAGTTGATGAAGTTAGCGGCGGATCAGGAGCTGTTGTTGCTCGGCTTTCAGAATTTTGTCTACCTGCAAGACCACCACCAGTGGTGTCTTTTAATATCAGCTCGGGTTAAGCACTAGCATCTCATGACAGGTGGGCTTCACTCTGATCAATTACACTGACGGTTGGACAAGTATGCATGCCTTCTGCAACTGCATTCAATTCTACTTCACGTTCAAGTTGTACAGAAGGTTTATTTAACTTAGCAGTAGTAGGCATTCCCTCCATTTCATCATGATCAACCAAAGACAAATCGGCACTATCATGATCATTATCACAAATATTCAATTTACCATCATCTATCTGGTCGACTTCATCATATTCAAACTCTTTAATAACAGCAGTAGATGATTTGGGTTCTTCCTCACAAATCCATAAAGGTTTTATGTCTTCACTCTGACTAGTGATACCTTGTAAACTTGTAGGGTCAGAACTGCACTCTGAAGCAGCAACTCTATTCTGTGACACTCTATTCAACAATGGCCTACCAGTTGCAACTACAGACTTCTTGACCGCACCGTTATCGTCGCACAATTCGGAGTCAGACCTTGATTTCACATTTAGCTTATCACTGAACTTGCTCACTGGTTCACAGTTCACCTCTGTATGCACCTCTTGCAAACG